TTCAAAATTTACTAAATGATAAAAATAATTTCGTTGATACAACGGTAAATATTATCTTATTTATATTTTTTTAAATCATTTTCTAAAAAATTTTAATTTTTTTAAGGTTGAAAAAGATAAAGAAAAGAGGCAGCTATTCATCAATTCTTTAAGAATTATTTTGGCGATAAATTGACACAGAGACAAAAAATGGTACTATAAGGATCAAATATGCACAATAACGAGACAAGGAAAGGTTAATAAGGAGTATTTCTTTATTTTTTCACTTTTTACAAAATGAATAACTTTATACATTTATTTACAGACAAAAGAAATGAGCAGCAAAAAATGACGCTTGAGATGCATTGAGTGGAAGTTTTGTCAGTTTACTTTATATAAAGAAAATATGGATACTATGGACCGTTAACTCTTTGAAAAAGCTCTTAAAGTGTGGCTTTCATCAACTTTTCAAAGTTAATTTGTTAAATTTTATTAAACTTATATATATATATTTATTTATTTATTTAGAATTCATTAAAAAACATTTTCTTATGCTGGTACGAAACCATAAGCGCACAGAAGATAACCGCAAAAAGGATGAAGGCTGAAAGATTGTTTAGAATAAATCAAAAATCAAGAGGAATGAATTCATGTATCATAATTATTTATTAAATTTTAAAGAGTTTTTTTTTAATTGATGCATTAGATACGTTAAGGATCCATTGAAACTTGGTGATTGGGAGGGAATCATTTTTAATTACATTAAAGAAATTTATAAATAGCTTTTTTCTTTTTGGATAATGATTACATTATTCAAATTTACGAATGTTATGAATTATATTCAGAAATATTCAAGTAGGAAATGAGGAATAATTACAAAAACCATTGATTCTATGCAATCACGTGAATTTATTAATTATTTTGGTAAGAATCAAATAATTCATGCTTTTAGCAAATGTATTATTTCTTAATGTTAATTCACTTTATTAGGCATGCAAAGATTTATTACTTCATATATTCCCACATTCCAATATCGGTCGTTCACTTCTAAATAATTGGGAAGAGGCTATCGATTTGATCATGAAACCACGATCAGGAGGTAATTTTCGTTCTAAGGTCTACTTGATGATTTAATTAAAAAAAAGAAATTTTATTTTCTAATAATATCTTGTTTAGATCTCAGGATCTTCAAACATTGGATAGAGAATAATGATGCGAAAAAGACATTATAATTCCCAAAAAAAAATGCATTGCAGAGACTTATATTTAAATTATTTTACAAAAACTGGTCAAATTAAAGATTGTGCTGCAGCTTTTGCGGCAGTAAGTTAAATTACTAATTTCATAAAAAGAATTTGATTAAAGGATTTATTTCATTTAGATACCAAGAAATTTACGTCTTGTGTATGTACATGCGTATCAATCATATGTCTGGAGTAGTATTGTTTCGTAGAGGATACGTATATATGGTTATGATGCTCAGGTCGTAAATGAAGATTCGGATGCGAATAAATGATGATTTTGATTTAATATATTGATACAGATTATAAGAAGATGATTATAATTATTTATATAAATTTCTTATCTTCAATATATTTTAATATTTTTTAATTAGGAAATTAAGGTTAAAGTTACTCGCTGAAGAAGATTTAAAGAACATTCAATATTTGATGTGGTGTTACCTTTACCTCGATATTTCCGAATAACATCATATATCAAAGTCTTATATTCTGATTGTAAATATTCTTTTTTCATTTTTTTTTTTTTTTTTAAAAAAAAAAAAAAAGAATATGGACACTTGATCCAATCGACGGCGCAAAAGGATTTTTACGTTGCGAACAATTTGCAGTTTGTTTAGCATTACTTGTAGATGGTAAAGTAAAATTAGTGTTATGGGATGCCCTAATTTACCAGTAGATTCTAAAGTTCAAGAGTGAGAAAAAGGTTGCGGAAAAAGGTCAAGGAGTTTTCAGGTATTATTAATATTACATCATTGGTCATTTTATTCATTTTAATTTATTCGAGTATTTATACATTTATTTTGATAATAGAGGAAATTTTCTTCAACGGAAGAAACGAAAATCCAAATGGCCAATATTTCTTCGGTACTAGATGCATAATTTCGTGAATCGGTTGAAGCAGCACATTCATCTCATGGGGATGCTGCAAAAATAGCTTCACTAATAGTTATTACTAAATCACCTAATCGTATGGATAGTCAATGCAAATATTGTTCAGTGGCTAGAGGTGATGCCGATGTTTACCGACTCGAGATGTTTACGAAGAGAATTTATGGTAAACCTTCATTTTTTTTATACGTAAGGTATGATGAATTTACATTTATTAATGAATATCTTTTAATATATACATAATAGGATAGGATCATTCGTCCGGAGCTTTCTTGGTTCAAGAAGCTGGTGATATAGCTTCAGACATTTATTCAAAACCATTAGATTTTATTTAGGAAGAAATTGTACAAGAAGTGCTTATGAAAAAACATTTGATTTGAAATTATTACTTTTAAAATTATTGGTCTTTAATTTCTTAATTACTATGATATTAAGGATTTTACTTTTTTTTTTTGTTTGTTTATTCAAATTTTTTATTTAATAAATTATGATTTTTATGACATAAAACTCTCTGGTAAAAAAAGATGTTATAAAATTCAAAAAAAATATACGGGACACGTGTTTTAAATTGAAGACGTAGATCGATTGATGCGATATGCCTCAACTCATGTTTTTAAATCACATAATAAAATCGATTCGAGAGGGAAAAGACATAGACCGGTTAGCTGATTTTTTTTTTTTTATTCCATGTGGATTAGTGGATTAGTATTTTTTTATTCAAAGAACCAAATTGAGGAAAAGTAAACCCATTCCAGAGATTCGATGTAAATAAAAATGTTACTGCGCCAACTTCATTCATGTGGCCTCTATAATCGTTTAACAATGGGAAGTTTGGACACGTCACTACCATAATATACTTTCATGATTACTTTGACTCGTTTCATGCAAAAAGTATGTGAATATGACGTAAATCTGAAAAAATAATTCTCGTTCAAAAAAAAATAAAGTTTATTTTTTCATGCGATTCACTTTTGAAAAAAATTCGCGTTCAAAAATATATCAAAGTTTATTGTTTCAAGAAATAATTCACGTAAAAGATTGTTTCATGCATGAAACAAATAAAATTTTTTTTTCAAATTTGTCATAATCACATACTTTTCCATGAAACAATAAACTTTTACATGAGTCATAATCACATAATTCACATGAAACAAATCAAATAAACTTTTTTTTTTAAAAAAATGTGATGACTCACGTAAAAGTTTATGAAAAAAGTATGTGATTATGACAAATTTGAGAAAAAAAAAAATTCACGTCAAAATAATATATGAACACGTATCTTTCGTTAACAAAAAAAAAAAATCTTTTTCTTCCTTTAACAACAAAAATATTTTTCTTCCTTTAACTATAAAACAAATCTTTTTCTTCCTTTACCGATAAAAAAATCTTTTTCTTCCAGTAACGATAAACAAAAAAATCTTTTTCAGTAACGTAAAAAAATCTTAACGACAAAAATAAAATTTTTTCTTTAAACAAAAAAAGAAAAAAAATTCAGAAAACGAAAACTTATCGAAAACATGGAAAAAGGTAGAGTTTCTTTTTTCTTTCAAAAATGAGAGTGAAAGTGAAATGTCTCTCCTTCACCTCCTTCGTGGAAGCCTCCTTCGCTTCCTTCGTGGAAGTCTCTCCTTCGCTTCCTTCGTGGAAGTCTCTCCTCCGCTTCCTTCGTGGAAGTCTCTCCTCCGCTTCCTTCGTGGAAGTCTCTCCTTCGCTTCCTTCGTGGAAGCCTCCTTCGCTTCCTTCGTGGAAGTCTCTCCTTCGCTTCCTTCGTGGAAGTCTCCTTCGCTTCCTTCGTGGAAGTCTCTCCGTCGCTTCCTTCGTGGAAGTCTCTCCTTCGCTTCCTTCGTGGAAGTCTCCTTTGCTTCCTTCGTTGAAGTCTCTCCTTCGCTTCCTTCGTGGAAAGTCTCCTTCGCTTCCTTCGTGGAAGTCTCCTTCACTTCCTAGCTGGAAGTCTTTCATTTCCTTGAAAATGCTTGATGAAGGTCTATCGTTTTATAATAGAAATGATTATGATTTCCTTCGTAAAAAATCAAAATTTTTCATGGAAATTTTCTTTCTCTCTTTTCATTTCCACTCTCATTCCTTTTGATTGACTTTTGAAACTCTACTTCTAACCTCAATTGTTTGTTTTCTAAAGTTATTAGACATAACTGCTGTGCTAAAGCAGAATATTCCGTTTATGTGGAAGGTGCAATCCAAGGTATAACCTTCATTGATTTGCAGAATTGGGTCCGAAATATTACCAACCTACCATTTGTACATATTAAGAAAAGGAAGGAACTTGGGTAATTATACTTGATATAAATAACTTTAATTGATGGTTGTAATTTTAATCAAGTGTTAATAAATGAGAGTTGATTATAGATTCGCTCACATTCACTTCAAAAACCATCACGACTCGAGTGTTTTTTTTTGACAAATGGAGGGTAGAATATTTGATGGTCTGCAAGGAACAATCAAGTTTAAAGAATCGTTGCAGTACGATTTAATCAATAAAGTTCAATATATCGATTTTGTAAGATTTTTTTTTTATTACATTGTATTTTTCATTTTTTTACCGTAATTCAATCAATTTTTTTACTTTACAGAACGTACCCGGTGAAGAGCCAAACCCTACTGAAGAGAAGGTAGAACCAGGGTGACAAATTCTCCAGCTTCTTGAAAATATTCCGTTTCTGATCACATATTATCTTTTTTTTTTACTTTACAGAACGTACCCAATGAAATGCCAAATCCTACCAATGAACAGGTAGAACAGGTGCACAAATCTCCGAATATTTTCTATTATGTAATTTTAAATAAAAGCCCGCAAAAAAACAGTTTTCGATACGATAAATTTCTGCCATTTTTTACTAAAAAAATATAGGAAGTACCCGATAATGAAATAGAACTGGTACGACAAATTCTCCAGCTTCTTGAAAATTTTCCGTTTCTGATCACATACTATTATCTTTTTTTTTATTTTACAGAACGTACCCAGTGAAGAGCATAACCCTACCGAAGATCAGGTAGAACCGGTGCGACAAATTATCCAGCCTGTTGAATCTTTCCATATTTTCTATGATGTAATTTATCCATTTTTTTTTTTTTACTTATCTATTATAGGATGTACTCACCGAAGACGAAAATCATGAGCAGCAGAAACTTGAAAAAATTCTTGAAAAATCTGAAGAGGATATACGAACTAAGTACCTGCTAAATAGAATCAAAAATTTAAAAGATTCTTTCGAGAATGAGGTATAATTGTTGATTTTGTAAATATTTTTGATTAAAAAATAAATTAATTAATCTTTATATTATTAGAAAGTCCATTCTCTCCAATTAGAAAATAAATTCAACGCTCTTAAACGAAAAACAGAACAACTTGAATTAGAACTTCTAATAATCAGAAATGGAGACCCAAGAAAAAATAATGGAACATGAGAAATATTCTTTATATGCAATACATTTTAATGTAGAATAATTTTAACGTTATTTCTTCTTGCTAGTTTTCGTAAAATTGAACATTTTTCTTTTTTTAGTAATTTTATCAAATTGAAGTTTTCATTTTTCTTTTTTTGTAATTTTTCGTTATGCTATATCCATATAATAAAATCTTAAATTGAAGTAATAATATATATAATTATTAATGAACACTATGAATACGTTACTGAAAGACTTGTTGAAAGTATTGAAACTGAATCAACTGTCCGAGAGATTATGATAAAGCCCGGGAACCAACAAAAACTATAACAAATTCTATAGGAAAGTTGTCATTTAGGACAGACAGTCCAAGGTTAATGCCCAAAAAAAAAAAATAATGTTCAGGATATTTATACAATAAAAATTAATCTGATAATTTAATATGAAACTTCCGTCCTGTAATTTATGACGCAGTTCATTATTATTCACCAGGGGTAATTCTCAACTTTTTATCACTTACATCTTCTGATACATGAGGAACACAAAAGCGAATTTTTAACTTAAGTTCACAAATATCTTAGGTAAAGGACAAATAAATTACTCATGTGTACAAATCTCGGTTTTTGCTTAAGGCGATATTGATTTTACTAGCCTTACTTATAGTAGCATATGGCGACCTTTGCAATAGAGGGGGGGGGGGAGGAAATCATACGCCAAATATGACTTTCAGGCTGAGAAATGTTCAGATTTTGCATTTACTCATTATTTCTTATTTCCCCGCCTTCTATTGCAAGGGTCCCAAATAAGTGGTGGGATGCATGATAAATTCTCATAAATTTGTGTGGTAAGTAACGTACAAACGTCAAAATATTTTATGATAAACCTACTTAAGGTTTTTAATTTAAAACAAAATGTTTTCCTTTTAAAAAATTGATAATTGATAACCCGTGAAATATGTTTTTAGAGATGTCACAAAGAGTAAAAAAAGAATTTAAAAATTAGTTTATTTTATTTTTTTTTTTTTTGTCTATGTATAAATTATATAAATTTTTAAAAGAAAAAAAAAAAGAGTTGGCATTTATTAAATTAAGCTATTGTATTAAAGGAATTTACAAAATTAATCGGAAAAATATCCGGTTTTAAAAAAATTTACCGGATTGTAATAAATCTTTATTAAATTTAAATCTTCCGTTTACAATTTTGAATTCCAAATTTCTAGAGCACGAGTAAAATCAAATTCTAATAATCTATGTCATCTAATCCTATCATCATTAATAAATTTAAAGTTTCATTATTTAAATTGTTTCTCAAAACTGTTTTGATTAAGTTTTGCTTTGAGAATACTCTTTCACACTCCACACTTGAAAAAGGAATTGAGTAAATAATACTCAATAATTTTAATATATTTGGAAAATCTTCATAATAATTTTCAAATAATTTTGGGAGTAATAATTCCAATTTTGTTGTCTTATAATTAGCATATATTATTCGAACCCGAGTTTTTTTTTGATAGATCGCAGATAATTAATTTTATTGCAGAACTAGCTGTAACCCGTTGCTTCACGCCGGGGCCAATGAGTTGGATTAATTATATATATTAATACATCTTGAAATAAAATTCCGATTCGCTTTTATAAGTGATGTTATATAATCTAACTTTTGTTTTAATTAGGGTGAAAATAAATAAATAAAGTAAATAAATAAAGTAAAAATTTAAAAATGAAAAAAACAAAGCCTAAGAAGGGAAGGGTGGGGTTCTTGGGGGGGGGGGTACTCGGTACCCTCAGAAAAAATTTTTTTTCGCATATTAAAAAAATAAGTAATTATAACTACTGTTGACAAAAACAAAAAAAAAATTTTTCAAGAAAATTTAAAAATACTGTTATTTATTAGGATTAGTATTTTTTCACATTAGTAATCAATATTAAATATGTCACACAAATCGCGTGAACTTTTTTTGTCATGTGCAACGTTTTTTAATGTTTTCAAAATACATTTTTTTTATTTTTGCATCGCACGAATCCTTGGCTCTAGTATGAATCACCCGGACCTCGGATCATTAATTTACTATCACATACTATGTATCTTTTTATTAGTATATATTAATAATAAGTACTCAAAGATAAAGAAGAAAAGAAAATTTTAAAAAAGATTGACTTTTCCTTTTGGAAATTATTAGCATATTATAATCTTTATCAATATACCATCACTCCGTTTATAGGCAACTCAAATTGATCATATTCAGCTGTTGGGGTAAGCGTTATTATATATGTAACTAGAATAAGTTGATGCCGCTTGTTCATTAAATTAACAGCAGTCAGTATTCAATACTTAGTTATGATGCCTAATTATAATATTTGATACTATATTATATTAAAATGGTTGAACGAAATCATACTATAATTAAAAAAAAAAAATCAATTAATCGATCGATCGATCAGATAACGAACCCGATAAAGAATTGAATAATAAAAAAAAAAAATAATAAAAGAAAAACCACGTACCGCTTTTAACTAAACTAAAAAAATTTATTAAATAAATGTTTAAATCAATTACTACAGAATTAGCATTAACTCATTTTTATTTTTCACGGCAGCTTCTATTGCAAAGATTTTTTATCGATTATTTATTAGTTTTTTTTTTTTTTTTTTTACAGTTAATTAAACTCAATAAATTTTTATATAAATGTTTAATGTAATAAAAAGAATGTATCATATTGTTTAACATATGTAAAAAGTTTATTATTACCAATAAATTAAACTTGGTTATATTCGGTTTTGCTGTTTCGAAAAATTTGGGTTATTTCCACTGGGTTAATTCAAAGTATATATTAATAAGAAAATATATTCTCTTTTTTTTATTGTTGACAAACAAATAAAATTAATTTTACATGAGCTGAGATATATATTGTTATCACAGACACGACAATCTTAATGTAAATTTGCAGCGACCAGCTTTAATTATTCAATTAGTGTAAGAGGATCTTTCATTATAGAAAGCGATATCACCGATAGTAGTAAGCATCGTCTCAATTTGTGTAATTTTGCGGGCATTTATATCAATATTTGGATTAATCTATATTGCTAAATTTTATTTGCGTCCCTTCGAGACTTGTGAAATATCCCCTGATTACCATTCAGGTGAATAATAAATTATCCTTAATAGAAATAGTTTGATAATTAATATATTTAAGCAGATACGTGATTTTAGTAAAATTTTAATTCCATTTTTTTTTACATTGTGATCATTAAATATTCGTAATTAATAAAAATATCAAATTAATTGTTGTCCCATTATTGATTATAATAAGTAAGGAATTTATGGAATTTTCAAGTTTTAAATAAGTTCAATATTTTATTTTTTTAATGATTTTGATAGGGGATTTGGTGGAATGGAGTTGTAATTCATTATCGTTATGAGAAACAAAATCGCAAAAGGAGAACTAAAGTTCTATTACTGCCTGCTGACGAAGGTATTGAAATCATCTTGAACTTGGGCTAATATGTGAGGTTGGCTATTAAAATATAGTAAATCATATATGATGTGTAACGTGATTTTAATAGCAAAGAAATATTGCAGATTAAAAAATTTACAAAACAAATTTACTCACTAGTAAATTTTTTTTTATAAAATTAGATTTTTTTAAAGCTTATAAAATTCATATCATCTTTTAGAAAAGTATTAAATTAGAATTTTCAGATTATTTTTATTTACATCACATTAAAATATGTCATCTATTTTTGCAAAAAAAAAAATAAGTGGTTAATCTGTTCAAAATTGTCGAGATAGATTTTTGAACGTATTTAAACATAGCAATAAAC